TTTGATGGTACGAAACTGGACCCAGCTGTCCCTGGTTGTTGGGCTTTAAATAAATTATCCTGGTTAATGAAACAGATAATCAGTAACATAGCTACAAAGATCATCTCACTCCAATCTACATAGACCGTCAGCTGTGCTGCGGTTACCATGGTTACCATAGGTTCTGGCGCACACCACTGGGAGCGCCATGTAGTTACGGCGTACGTGCTGCGTAACACACGGCACTCCCAACGGTGTGCGCCAGAACCTATGGTAACCGCAGCACGGCTGACAGTCTATATTTAATTATTTTTGTCTATGATTCTACACTCATCCTTCAATCATTCTTGGGTTAAAATATGCACCTAGGTGGCGTCCCTGATAATGATAATAACTCCCGAAACATAGTAAAATATTATGAACATAGTGATATAGACCATTTTACTTTAAAATTAGAATACATACTGCTGGTTAACAATTAGTCAACTTTATATCGTATAGTTTATGGTGTTTTTTCGTGGTCTCATGGTGCGTCTATGGCTAAGGCGTGGTTGGTGTTTGCGTTATGACTCGCGACCCTCACTCTCTCCCCATCAATTAATTCCACCCCTCTTTACCTTGGCACGTGTTTGCCTTGCTCTCGCGTATTTTGTGAACTAAAGATCGGTAATAACGAAAATGTGTGAAATTTTTATCAGGATTAGAGAGTTGTTGGTCTAGTTGTTAAGAGTGTAAAACCATAGATAAATCATACTCCCTTAGTATATTTCTCATCCTTATGGAACAGCTGAAGACAATTTTATTGTTAGTTCATGTACGGTTTATGTAGAGGTCGGGTTTAGATTTCTCATCCTTATGGAACAGCTGAAGACAATTTTATTGTTAGTTCATGTACGGTTTATGTAGAGGTCGTGTTTTGTTTACAATTTGTTTCCCGTTATTACAGCCATTTAAAACCTCGTTTAACCAAATAATACGATCTAATCATAAACAATAACTTGTCCCCTAGTTATATAACCAAACAGTAAAGCACAAATCAAGAAATTAACCCCAAAATATTGGAAACAAAGTTTCATCAACACTAGCGCCTTTGTGTCACGTACATGAACTAGACACAAAAAACGTGCTTCAAAATTTACAATGGGATGAGAAGTCTACTTGTGTTGGTTAGTCTATGGTAAAACCTTTTGAGGTGTGGGTTCAACTCAAATCAATCACTATTTTTAGGGTTTGCCATGTGATAATACCTGTACAAACTTTAATTAAAACAATTAAACAACTAACATTGTATTTGCTTCCTCAAACGATTTTTAACCGTCAAAAATCACCTGACTTTCCCACATTCCACAAAAGGGAGGCTTCACTTTATAAGGGTTACTTTGGAATCGAGTAAGAAAGGTTTCTCTTGTTTTTCACCAATATTGTATATCGGACTACAAGAGCCTAGGGCATAAAAACAGTTGCAATACTTTCCACAACAATCCAGCAATATTTTCTGATGTAATTTAAATTTTTTTTTAAATATATATATGTTTAGTTGTAGATAGAACAAGTTTAATGAAAATAGCTGTTCTGAAAAACTTATATATATGTGAGAGAATCGCTGGGTAGTAAAGACATTGTTTTATTCATTCATCCCTCAAAATTAATCTTTGATTTGTGTTTATAAAGTGTTAAAGGTATAGATGCAAACATTAGTACTTTTTTGCATGAATGAATTATTGCTATAGATGAAAAATGAATACTTAACACCCACTGCTCCCTTTTAAATTTTCACAAATATTAAAAATCCTTCACAGCCATTTTCCATACGCTGCTCCTAACCTACAAATCCGACCACCGAATTTCACAAACACTAGTGCCTTGTTGCACGTAGGCAGTAATACTAGGCCGAAATAGGCAATAGGTACGTGTTGCCTAGGCACTAGGCAGGTCCCGGGTGAAATGTAGTCATTATGATTGTTGAACAGACGTTTCACATCTGACTTAGCCGCACCTAGGAACCGCCCTGGCGCGTGGAATAGAGGAAGAGGTACACGGGAGGTGGCGAAATGAAGACGTAGATAGAGAAATCTAATCAAGATGTGTCGAAAGTGAAAAAGATTTTTTTACACCCTCAAGACACTTAGAGATCCATTTTTTGGGTTGTGAACAACAAAATGAGCATTGCAGGGATATTAAATTAATCCTTAACGTTAAAACAGAACAAAAATATACCCGAAAATTTTCTTTAGTTGGTCCAGAAGGATGTTTAATCTGTAGAAGTGTATGTTTAAGCAATGGTAAAATTAACAACTGCATGTTCTGACCAATGGAAGGTTGATTCTGATTTTTTCAAAATGAAATTTTCCGGAAACGTGTAAGATCTCTCATATTTCCTTTTTTAGTATCATTGTGGACTTAACACTGAGCCAGAATTATTTTGATGAGGATAGAAATATCTACAGAACAAACATTTAATCCTTTTCTCATTTTGACATTTGAATGCTTAGCTACAACTTAGTATGTAGGCGTATTCAATTGTAATCTCCCAGTAGATAATCAAACTACCCTTAGAAGGTCGTAAAATACTCCCCCAAATACATTTTATCATTAAATTTTGCTTTGGACTATAATAATTCTTATCTTCTCTCCACAACTCTCTGGAGGTGCACCCGCAGCAATCAACTTCCCAACTTGTATACACTTCACCGCATCAACGCGAAGAAATTCAAAGAGTAGTGGTCCTAAAACACAACCTTGTGGAACGCCACAACAAATGACCCCAGCAAGGGTGGACAGTAGTGATAAGGCTTATCAGTGCGGACCGTGGTGTGCGGGGAACTGATATCTTATCACTGTCATTCCCGCCTTCCGCCCTGACACAATCTTCCCTCCATAACACCACCCTAATGATGTGAAGTGTTGCCTATAGTGTTCAGTCCATTCAACAGCTTTTGTTTTGGGGGTTTATTCTTCTTTCCAATTTGGTAAGTTGTATTTTCCCCTCGTCTTCCGCACTAGCTCAAAACTTTTCCGAAACATCGCCCTTGCCTAATCATGTGAGGTGTTTTCTGGAGTGTTCAGTTTATACAGTTTTTATTTAGGAATTTCTTCTGTGTTCTACTATTTTTGTGAGTAGCAGTATTGCAACTAGTGTTTCTCTAGTTTTACCAAACCCCAAGATACTTAATTATGTAAAAAATAAATGTTAATAAATTGAGGCATGTGTGAAAATAATCTTTACTTGCTAATTAGTGCATTTTTTAGTTATATTATACTTTCTTTGATTCTGTAATAATATCTTTACATCGTTACTGTTAATTTCACCAGTTAATATATAAAGCCTAATAGCATACGGTATGGAGAATCTTTATGTACTTGCAAAAGTAATGCCAACTTTACCTACTGGTTTTTATTGGACATATTATGCCAATTTTCAAAACCAATAAATTTTATTTATGTCTCAAGTTTCTGAAAACGTCTCATAAACATGAACTATTTAAATATGAACACTTCATAAGAGCGTAAGCTACCTTTGATACTTAATATATTCATGTTAAGAAATGCATCTTAAACAATACTTTTGAGAAAAGGTTTTTACATATAATCTTTATAAATTATGCGTTACCAATTAAAAATTTTACCTTTCCTAATTTCCAATATCCCAGAAGAATATAGGTCAAACTGTATCGAAGCTACTCTAGGTGCATTATGATCAATTTGCATACAAAAGAACCATCCATATTTGAAGCCAGCTTTGAGGATCGCCAAAATTACAGGGAATATTTTATTCACTGATCATTTCCGTCCGCGATATGACTAGGGACGGATATTTCCATTGTTGCAAGTTTCTTTTTACACGCAACACCAACTGCAGTTTGGAAATTGTTAAAAATTGACAGTTCTTCGCAAGCTTCACATAGACTGTTCTAGTTTCAACTCAAGTCCTTTGGGCTTCGTTTTGGGAATATTGTTGAGATCTGTTAAGGTGAGTACTTTAGGCTTTGATAAGGTTGAATTTGACAGAATCCCTTGCAAGCTTACGTTGGTGTAGACTTGCTCTATGCTTTGACAATTTTTCTGAGGTTTTTTTTATTTTGAAAAGATTTGATTTCAATTCAGCAAGTACAGTAAATTTTGGTGAGGTTTTTGTAGCTGACACATCTTCTTTCCAACCATTTTTGTCTCCAATCAATGTCATCCGAGTAGTATGGCAAGCTAAAAGAAGAAATTGCCCTTCGCTGTAGCACAAAAATAATTGGGAGCTCTGTGTCTTTTTATTATTTGGGAACTCAGGACAGTTAATCTTTGTTTGAAATTCATTGTTGGTGAGTTATTGATGTTCAAAGGTTTATTGCGGATATTTCCATTACGATGGTAAAAAACAATACACAAAGTTTCGGGATTAAAAACTTAACTAACACATTATTATTAGTGTATTGTTAGTTGTAATGTGTTAGTTAAGTTTTTTTCACCTGAGGACAGGATCAGATTCCAGATCCCGAAACGTTGTGTATTGTTTTTTTACCATCGTGATGGAAAATGTCCGCAATAAACTTTTGAACATCACAGTTAGTTTATTGGGATGTCTATTTGAGAATCCTTATTCTATGCCATAAGCCCAGCAGATCAACACTAAAATACTCCGCCGCAGCAACCCGAATTTTTACTTACGTTTTGGATGTTAACTTAAGAATCAAGAGTAAATTAAACAACACTCCTTTGTACCGTTAATCAACTACTGTTAACTGTTAAATGTTAACCAACTTCCTAATCAATAATTTCAATCATGGTATGAAGAAAACGTACACAATCAACTTAATTACGCCAATAATTTCAGCTACAACCACCACACAAAATTCACGAGTCGGAATAATTCAACGAACTAATTACCAAAATTTCTTTTTCAATAAATAACTCCACAATTCGTCACGCAAGTCGTTACAACACTTAACGAGTTTCTAATAGATAATTGAACATCAGTGTTTTAGCGAATCGATTTGGTTTAGTCTGCAGTTGTGGCAAGTCTACGGTTTGGTGCGTTTCGGTGAAAAATATTAGGGGAGCCTCGCCATCTTGGTCGCTGCACGCGATGTAGATGTGATTTACCTTTTTTACCTCCCCTTGCAGTACTCCCTGGAGGTAGGTGGAGTAGTTTAAAAATTTGTAATAGACAATAAAAAAAATCTGGGTGGATTTAAACCTCCTTGGTAAATAGAATACTTTTAAATTACATCGTGTACTCTTCTAAACTGACCACATCAGGTTGTTTTCTGTTATTTCCATCAAGTTAGGTTAGGTTAGGTCATTTGTACTCGTGTGTTACAGACGAATTTTCATTTAAAATGTTTGGTTACCTAACCTAACCTAACCTGGTCTTTATCGTCTAGGTGTACTTACCTTTTGAGCAAATATCAAGGCATCCCTCTATTTACATAGGGTTTCGCATTGATTTGACGATGAAATAAGAATATTATTACTGAACCGAGTGAAACGTGAGTTGAAACTAGTTTCCATACCGTAACGCAGCAGATCACATAGATGCAGGTATTTCACAATTTATATAAATTACATTTGCTATTGTGATGGATTCGATTTAGCAAAAACTTCGATTAGTACTTATTTGGTCAAGATGTATATCCTTGAGCAACCTGCTATAGAGGTATTGTTTTATATACAGTGATTTATAAAATTAATAGAAATTGAAATAACAATCTTTGGGGGTGGCGTAGGACGCTTAAGCATGTATTTCGTTGTTGGGATTGAATTTCTAGTACTGTCAATTAGGGTAATGAATTTCACCTTTTCAATTTACTTTAGAATACCATGATAAAAGTCCTACAAATTTAAACAAACCCCATTCGATGTTCTGATAATAATAGCTGTATATTGGCCTAAGCCATTTCACATAACACATTTATATAATTTGACTGTGTCTCATGCATTTATATAATGTCTATAGACGAATAAATATCATTTAATCGTTTCATTTCAAGACCAAGAGCAGATGAGTTCACCTAGCTAATGAATTTTCTCAGGATCGAACCGGTGATCTTCTGGCTATCAGGCTAGCACGATAGGATAATTACGACACCCTGTACATCGCGGACCTCGCGTGATGTAGGTGCGAAGGCAAGGTGTCGGAGTGACAGCCAGGAGGGCGAGGCCCTGACCGAGCCAGCCGGCGAGCGCCCCACGGGTCTGTAATCTGTACTGGGTGAAGGGTGAAGTTTAATTGGTGGGAAGTTGAATACGCAAGGTTTGCTGCGAACAGGTGTTACATGAGGCTTAAGTAGTGAATTTGTTGATTATTATGTACTTTATTCGCTGTTTGTTTGTACAAAAAAATATTTGTACAGTATTAACTTTGCTCAAATTTTTATCTCTGTGAAATACAAACAATATATGAAAATATTTCAAACATTTTCTCTTATTTAGTTTCTTAAACATGGGGATTTATACCACAATATTTGGGTTACAAACTAGATTAGTGGTTAGCAAGATTTGAACCTGGGACATCAACACCAAGTGGTTTTCATAAAAAAAAACTTTAATATAAAAAATATAAACTTGTGCATTTTTTGAATTTTTTCGTACGGAGGTAATTATATTTTTGAAATGACAAATGAATGAATGACAAAAAGTTTGTACGTGCACAATTAAACGTAACGTCAAAGATTGGAGAGTTAAACTGCAATTTTATATGCACAGTTTAGGAGTTATGTTTAAAAACTTGAAAGAATCAGCCTTGAGAATCGCGTAATGCTTTTCTGTGTAAACTAGACGTTGAAATGGTCAGGCGTTATCACCAGACAATTGTATATAGTAGTAGTATACATCCACGTGACAGTTTACCACTAATGTCGTAGCGGTGCATCAAAAGAAGCTTTCAGATGTAGTTGCAGCCATTTTTGATTGATTCGCCCACAATGGCGGCCGTGGGCGGATTTGACCTTGCCACGTGCAGAATGTCTTCCAAGGTCGTCTTGTGCAGTTCCCCGGGACGGCCACAGACACGAATCTGAGAAGACGTTGCATCATCAGACTGTGGTTCATCCTGAGGAGTTAGACTTGTGTCCTAGAGGACTGTGTACATGAGGAGTTGAACTTGGGAACGGTGTACATGAGGAGTTAGAACTTGGGAACTGTTTACATGAGGAGTTGGACTTGGGAACTGTGTACACGAGGAGTTAGTCTTGGGAACTGTGTACAAAAGGAGATGGACTTGGGAACTGTGTACATGAGGAGTTAAACTTGGGAATTGTGTACATGAGGAGTTGGGCTTGGGAACTGTGTACACGAGGAGTTGGGCTTGGGAACGGTGTACACGAGGAGTTTGTCTTGCGAACTGAGTACATGAGGAGTTGGGCTTGGGAACTAAGTACACGAGGAGTTAGACTTGGGAACTGTGTACATGAGAAGTTGAACTTGGGAACTGAGTACACGAGGAGTTGGCCTTGGGAACTGTGTACACGAGGAGTTGGGCTTGGGAACTGAGTACATGAGGAGTTGAACTTGGGAACTGTGTACATTAGGAGTTGGACTTGGGAACTGTGTACACGAGGAATTAGTCTTGGGAACTGAGTACACAAGGAGTTGGTTTTGGGAACTGTGTACATGAGGAGTTGCGCTTGGGAACTGATTACATGAGGAGTTGGACTTAAGAACTGAGTACATGAGGAGTTGAACTTGGGAACTGTGTACATGAGGAGTTGCGCTTGGGAACTGTGCACATGAAGAGTTGCGCTTGGGAACTGATTACATGAGGAGTTGGACTTAAGAACTGAGTACATGAGGAGTTGAACTTGGGAACTGTGTACATGAGGAGTTGCGCTTGGGAACTGATTACATGAGGAGTTGGCCTTGGGAACTGTGTACATGAGGAGTTGGGCTTGGGAACAGTGTACATGAGGAGTTGGTCTTGGGAACTGTGCACATGAGGAGTTGCGCTTGGGAACTGATTACATGAGGAGTTGGACTTAAGAACTGAGTACATGAGGAGTTGAACTTGGGAACTGTGTACATGAGGAGTTGCGCTTGGGAACTGATTACATGAGGAGTTGGCCTTGGGAACTGTGTACATGAGGAGTTGGGCTTGGGAACAGTGTACATGAGGAGTTGGTCTTGGGAACTTTGTACATGAGGAATTGGGCTTGGGAACTGTGTACATGAGGAGATGGCCTTGGGAACTGTGTACATGAAGAGTTAGTCTTGGGAACTGTGTACTTGAGGAGTTGGCCTTGGGAACTGTGTGCATGAGGAGTTGGCCTTGGGAACTGTGTACATGAACTATGAAGAGTTAGTCTTGGGAACTGTGTACATGAGGAGTTGACCTTGGGAACTGTTTACTTGAGGAGTTACTCTTGGAAACCGTGTACACGAGGAGTTAGTCTTGGGAACTGTGTACTTGAGGAGTTGGCCTTGGGAACTGTGTGCATGAGGAGTTGGCCTTGGGAACTGTGTACATGAACTATGAAGAGTTAGTCTTGGGAACTGTGTACATGAGGAGTTGGCCTTGGGAACTGTGTACTTGAGGAGTTACTCTTGGAAACTGTGTACACGAGGAGTTAGTCTTGTGAACTTTGTACATGAGGAGTTGGCGTTGGGAACTGTGTACATGAGGAGTTATACGTGGGAACCTTGTACATGAGGAATTAAACTTTAGGACCCCTTAAATATAAAAGAGACTCGGACGGAAATATTTTCTTTGCCAAACGTTTTTGCTAAACTTAATAAGTTAGATCACCGACCCTCCGAGATACTTTTGGCAGAAATCATCATTCTTTAATGTCAACCTACAAAGTCGGAACGAAGTTATCAACCAATTTTCTAAGGGAAGATCAAAACACTTTTGATATTGACAAAATCTGAAAATTTACAATCTAAATTAATTTCTGTTGTGCCTCTGAAGCTTTTAGTTAGAAGCAAAGTACGATGAGGATCTCCAACGGTTTAAGACCGCTGTCAAGTAATCCATTTAAAATTTAAATGTCCGAAGATTCCAAGAATCAAGGCTGCGCAGGGGAAAGTCCTACAGGATTTTGTGTCTTGTATCCTTGGATTCTTCTGCGTCAGCGGTGTCTAAACCCGTGGACGGGTGGCTTTCACCCATCGGGGATTGCTGACAAGTCCGTGACTTCAAGGTCACTCGGGAATCTCACGGGTGTAGGCCTCAGGCCGGAGGGGCGAAGCCCTAAACATAGGCGTGGACGGGAATTCGTAATGGTGGAGAAAATATGCATTATAAATTAAGCTATTTAAATTGCTCGTGTAAAGAAGAAAGACTGAATTTGTTAAGGGTTAAAAATATTTTTTGTTTTTTCGTTGGTTGGCCATGGATGCCACTTCAAGAGTTTTACATAGTATAATTAAGGAGTTTAAATTTCAACTTTTTTTCAAACTTCAGTCATTCTTGAGCTTTTGTCAATACATTGAATTTGAATAATTAAATCATTCCATAGCATCTATAAGGACTAGCTGAAGTGAATTCTTATAAAAATTCTCACTCATTCTCACTCATTGTACACATTAATGGTCTCAGCATAGTATGTTTCGATTACAAAATTTCAAACTGTGTAGATAAACTGTTTTTTGTTAGCGGAGTTTAACCATTTAAAGAGATTGTGTAGACCTAAAAGAAACGAAACTATTTTATAACAAAAATCTGTTGGTGGCCAATTAGTACTAAATAATTTATCTCTAAAAGTAGCTACAACTTACGCATATTTAGTAAACGTTTAAATTTTCAGACGAGTTGAAAATACTAGCTATCTACTGCTACGATTTACACAGTGTTCCATTTGGGATATTTTTATCCCACATCAGGGATTTTTTTTCGGAACTTGAGGGATAAAGTAGGATATTTATCAAGTTCAAGTTTATAAATAGTTTAGAGAACAAATCAAACACTTTTTAACATTTACCTTAATAAATAGGCTACCACAAAAGTATTTTTCCTTAGTAATCAATTTATATCAAACTTTTCTTTTACATTGCGAATGACTTTTGTAAGGGATCTTACAGGATAAAAAGGGATTTATCCCAAAAAATGGTGGGATAAAAGGGATTTTTACTGCAATACGGGATCTATCTTCTGAAGAGGAAACTCTGGCTAGTAAATGCGTTAATTATGAATCAGTTAG